ATAAACTTGAAGCTTATCCTTTAAATAAGTGAAAAGCCTATAATATTTTGTTTTTTATTCCCTATACATAAAACAGGAAATAAAATAAAATAAAAACAAAAATAAAATATTGGAAAGAAAAAAGTTTCAATCAATCGTCTTTTTAAAAATACTACAAAAAAAAAAGGCTAAAACCGTACAAAAGTTTTCCGTTCATTTGGATTGATTTTACATTTTCAAGTGCCATAAAGTATGCAATTTTAAAAATAATATATTTAAAAAGCAATTACTACAATTTAAAAAAATGTAGTTATTAATTCTAAATTTCTTTATTAATCATTATTAGAATTCTGAAATTATAACATAAACGTTAATTTTATAATATTCCTAAAATTAATAGAGATTTATAGCCATCATTTTGGCAGAAAGGGAAATGAAGTTGTCACTGTTGACAGTTAACTAATCAGTTTCGCAAGGACGATACTAATTTAGAGTTTCTAAAGCTACTCTAAATTAAGATACAAGCCTAAAATTACAAACTACATTAAAAATAAAATTTATTTAAGAATTTTCTTAATTTTAGAAGACAGAATAAAGCAAGTTTAAGATAACATACTCGTGATATTAAAATAATTGAAAATAAATTAGCGTAAAACAATAAATATTTCCAGATTGTTTCAAACAATATTTCCAAAAATTATAAACTAAAATGAATGAAAATATCTACATACAGTTAAATAGTCTTATTTTATAATTAAACTTGTCATGTAATCACGCATACATACATTAACAATTACTCACTTACATTATGAAACAAAAGTTTAGAAAGACCAGTTCCATGTAAAATTGTGTCAAAATAGAAATAAAAATTTTCATACCAAAAATCCAAAAAAATTTTTTATTTTAAAAAATTTTTGAAGGCGTCGTATAACGAACGAATGAACAGACACAACAGTTACAACCTTGTAAAATTTTAAGGTGTTTTTTTTTTTCAAAAATAAGAAAAAAGAAATCCTTAATAAATCTACATACATCAACAGATCCTTTTTTTTTTTGTTTTTTATTAGAGAGTAGAAGAATAAGAAAAAAGTGGAAAATAAATAAACAAACATTTATCTCCTTTTGAATCCTTAAAATATTTTCGATTTCTTGCAAACTCAATTTAAATTTCTTCCTATTAATATCTAAAGTTCCTATATATATACAAAAATATATTTGTAAAAACATTTCGATATACATACTCTAATCATTTCAATTATATACACACATTTTACTCTATACGTAATTGGACTTCATTTTTATTCCTGCTTCAATTTTCAAATAGATCACCATACTAAACTTAAAAAAAAATATGATGTTATTCCCCCCCCCCCCCCCTCCCCGTCTTTCTTGATAAAAAGAAAACGTTTATTAATCGAACTTTTTAAAAATACTGTGAATTTTATAGATTTTTTTCTGATTTATGTACATATGTATATACGTGTGTAAGTATATAAAGATTTAGTTGGAAAAATTTTAAAAAGTTGGGATGCTTTAAAAATTTTAAATTTCAGAAAATGGAACAAGTTGTACATACAAGTACATTGTGAGGAAAATGAGTACAATTTTATTTGGATTAATCTTATTGATAATTAAGATTTTATTTTGAGCCTGGTATACATAGTAAAAATTATTAATAACAATACGCGTACAATTATTTACTTACACGTGTATATTTGCTTTTATTTTTAAATTGGTTTTCAGATGAAATTTAATTGAAAGACGTTAACTTCTTCATAATTAGGTACAATATGATTAATTTAATAAGGAAAACAAAGAAATGAGCAGCTTATCTTAAAATTAAATTGTGATTACAACTAATTTTCAACGAAATTATGGCATAACGCACTTACAAATTTACTATTAATCGAATTAAAATTGTAAAGCATTTATCAAAATAAGCAATACACCAGCAACCGAAATTTAAAAAATTTATTTGATCTAAAGTATTAACATATGAGTTGAAACCTGCCCTGCTTGCCTTAGAAAAATTATGCTACAAAATAAAATTATTGAATTAAAAGAAAAAATAAATAAAAAATTTCTTTTAGAAAATCTACAATAAAATTAAATTTCTTAAAGTTATTAATATTGGAACTTACCTATATTTTTTTTATTGAAAAGATTATAAAGAACAAATGATCCTGCCAATCTTCAAGACTCCTACATTATGTAAATATACGATATAAATAATTTTTATTGTAAATGCAAATAATAAAATATTTAAACAGAACTATATGGTCAGTATTTATTAATGCTTCTCATGATAATGTGCTCTTTGAATAATTCTTCCAGAATAGTTATTCTATTCTGGAAAACGTGTACATTTAATATTTAAGCGCGTGTATTTGCCGAAAATTTTGATGTTTTTTTTTTTTGAAAATATTAGTTTGTATAAAGAATTTTAATGTACTTCTATTTATATAATACTTAAATGAGTGCTCCACAAAGAAGCTCGAATTATTACAAGAATTTGTTTTAAATCTAAAATTTATTTTTCTATGTTTCGAAATTAATTTTAATAGAAAGTTATACTGTTGCGAAGAACATAGTACATACAGTTTTATGAGGAATTACATTTATTAAGTATGTGTTATGAGTTATTATACACAAGATATGATAAGATACATACCAGATAAGGTATAAGAGTTTTCACCTCACTCATTTAATTATGCATCATAAAAATTTTTATATTAGTATTAGTGTTAAAAGATTAGTCTAAGTACATGTAAGTAGTTAATGATATGAATTAATTCTTCTTATATTTCGATTTTCATCAAATAAAGACCTATTTTTAATAAAGTAATTAAAGTATAAAATAAAATAACAAAGTGTATTATTTAATATAAGTACATATATTGCAGTTGGTCCGTAAAAAATAGTGATCACAACGTGATCTGAATACGCAACCTTCTTATATGTCATGTAATTATATATTCTAAGGTTCATCAATGTTAAAAAATTGAGCTCATTTATAATTTTTGTAAAGCAATTTATAACCAAACATTTTAACATGTTATGTATTTCTGAAAACTTTTGGTTAACTCCTATCACATAATAGTTTACAAATCACCAGTAACTAAATTGTTCAAAAAATGCAAGGGTTCCAGATATCTGTTTGATGGTTTACTCTGTAAAACACTTTTATTTACATGTAAGTATACACAATCAAGTCATATAGAACATTATATGTCAAAAACAAACAACAACAAAAAAAAATTATTTTTAATTCTTTATGGGCATGTTCTGTTCACTTATTTATACAAACATGCATACAACGGTACATACTTATATACAATATATTTATTATTGAATCTACAAAAAACATAATTTTTAAGTTACTTGTAGTATATAAAATTACAAGATGTAGATTTACGTTTATCTATATTTATGTAGGTACATAAAATTTTATATCTAAGAAAAAGGACTTCTTTAAGGACATCTTAAAAATACAAATACATACATATAAAATATATGGCCTGAAATATTATTAAAATTTTTTAAGATAAAAAATTTGGAATCCTTTTTTTTTGTTGTTGTTTTTGAAAATGAGAATTTGGTACGTAAATTTTTCTAATATTTTATTATCTTGTTTTTTTTTTTCTTATTTCTCCCTGAAGTTCTTTTGACCGTTTATATATTTGCCTTTATTTTATGCTTTCTTTCAATAATCATATTTCAACACTAAAAGTGGTGTGTACACAAAAATTACATACATACATATATTTTTCTTTATGTACAAACATGTTTTTTATTGTTATTGCCCCTTTTTATTTTTAAATCATCATAACATACAAGATTTTTTTTTAAATGACAATAATAATATACAGGACTACATACGTACATTATATATATTTCAGGATTCAAATACCCCTACCCTACACACTTATACAAAATAAAAATATAATTTTTTCCCTTTTTTTTTTATTATGTTGTTCATCTTTATTTTACTTGTACTTTGCTTGTCAAATTTTCCATTCCTTATGTTTGATTTGATATTTAGTGAAATTTTTATTTCCTCTTATATTTTGAGCCTTGCAGGCCAGTTAAGAGGATATCAAAATAAAAATTATACACACAAAAATACCAGAAAAAAAAAAGTTGTTGGTTTATAAATAAAAATTTATTTGTTAATGACATTTAGTAAATATTTCCTAAATAAACAAAACAAAATACACAAAAGGATATGCAAAAATTTATAAAGAGAAAACTTTCAATAAATAAAATAATCAAAATCATTTTAATTTATTTAATTCTGATTTAGAATTTTTTGTTTTATTTAAAAATTAATTTCAAACTGTATGGTTTTCTATATATACAAAAAATTATAAAGAATTCATAGACTAACTGTTAATCTGTTAATAAGAAAAAACCGTTAATCAACTATAAAAAATTCCTTTTGTAGACGAAAGTGTACCTACATATAAGATTATATACAGGCATTAATATTCATCACAAAACGCTGTTTTTTAATGTCAAAATTAATTTGACAATCAAAACCAATCAAAAACACATAAAAATATTTTGATACGCGTTGTCAAAATTGAAAATTCCATTTTTTTTTCATTATTTCTCTCACATTTCATTTTTTGCTAAAGAATTAATGTGAACGTATAAACCAATAGCCATTATAATAATTTAAAGAACAAAATATATCATGTAAACTACCTACGAAAATCAAAATTTGCTATTGTGTTATTGACATTTGCGATAAATTTTGAGAAATATAATAATATTGTTATGTATTATTTATTGCTACATTTTTTTGTTGTTACTTATTTTACGCTTTTATTTAAAAATTTCAAATTTTATTAAAAACAAACTAAATAGTATATTATTTTTATGATTAATATTATTAATGTGTGTTAGAAAACTACATGAAAAAAAAACTGAAAAATATTTCAACTATTCTTCCTAACTGAAAAGCGACCACACTATTTTATGATTAATATTGTGAATGAAAAACGTCAGTCAAACTTTAGAAATTTAAATAAAAACATAAACAAAAAATTGTTCAAGGCCTTTCCAGGACCTGAAGTACGATTCGTACTTAAAAATGAATATATTTTTAATAGTAAGTAATATAAGAAACATAAAACTTTAATTTCTAATAATATTTAGCATAACTCGCAATTATAAAGTTGTAAAAACACAGAAAACTCTAACTAACCTAAGCTATAACATTCTATTTCGGAAGTGGAACATTTCATCAATTTTTATTGTGTTTCAGGATATTATTTTAATATTATTTTGTTTCGTGTGTTATTTTGAAAGTCTTGATGGTGACTTTGTTTTTGATGATATTGTAGCGATTGTAAAAAATAAAGATGTTACAACCCCTTATCAAAGCAGTATATCGGACATTTTCTATCACGACTTTTGGGGACAAAACATAAGTGATTCAAATAGCCATAAATCCTATCGTCCATTAACAACTTTAATGTTTAGAATAGAGTATTCTTATTTCAAATTAGGAAGCTTTCATATGAAATTTATAAATTTACTGCTTCACTGTATAAATACATGTCTTGTATACTGGATATTCAGAAATGTTGCTAGAACGAAAAACAAAAATTTAGAACTATATGCAGCTATTATATTTGCAGTACATCCTATTCATACTGAAGGTAATACAACTATATATTTAAAAAAATATATATATTACAAATATAACATAATTTCAGCTGTATGTGGTATTGTTGGTAGAGCTGAATTAATGTATTGTTTATGCTTTTTAATTTCATTACTAATATTTGACGCACTGGAAGGTATTTTTAATATCTTAATAAAAATTTATTTTGAATTTCATTAAGATTTATTCTAGATCAAAAAAGTTTAATGGATAACTGGCTGAAAATGTTCATATTAATTTTCGTGTCTTTTATGGGCCTCTTCTTTAAAGAAAATGCAATAACTATTCTTGTGAGTAAAAATGTACTTGTTTTTTTTTTCATTTAGGTGTGTAATAAAATATTTTTTTATATTATATAGCCAACTTGCATCATGTACGATATTGTGTTAAGAACAAATTTACTTCAAGATTTACAAATTCGACTGCATGTTAAAAAGATTGTTCTAAAACGTTTTGGAATTCTTTTAATAATTACATGTTGTCAACTATATGGAAGACTTTATATTCAAAACTTCGAAAGTCCGAAATTCAAAACAATGGATAATCCTGTTGCATTTAACGATAATTTTTTTACAAGGGTTTGTTAAAAATATTTTTTTTTTTGTTTTGTTAAAGTAACATTTTTTCCACAAGGTTTTATCACAAAATCATCTTTATGTTTTGAATTTTTGGATTTTATTAAACCCCTTATGGCTTAGTTTCGATTGGGCTCTTGGCTCGTTGAAATTAGTGACATCAGTAATGGATATTAGATGTATAACTTTTATAATATTTTATTATTTTCTGTTTAAGTTGCTAAAAACTCACTCAAGGTTGTAAAAAAATTAGTTTTCTTAATTAAAAAATTAATGTTTTTATCATTTATTTCAGATTAGTTTTTATTTCATTAGGACTTTTAATCATTCCATTCTTGCCAGCAGCAGGAATTTTGAAAGTTGGATTCGTAATTGCGGAAAGAATTTTATATGTTCCATCAATTGGGTATTGTTTATTGATTGTGCATGGGTTTATCAATTTAGAGCATCATCTTAAAAACTGTAAAATGGTCTGTTGCAAGAAAAAAACATAACTGTATTAAAAAGTTTTTACAATTTTATCTTATATTTAGATACTAAAAATTTTTGGATTGTTTATATTGATTGTGCTAATAATCAGAACACGTCAAAGAGCAGCCGAATGGATGACTGAAAATACTCTTTTTGTTTCAGGCTTAAAAGTTTGTCCAGATAACGCCAAAGTATAAATGATCTTTAAAAATAATTTTCGAAAATTCTATAATTTTTAATTTTCTAGATACACTACAACGTGGCAAAGGTAGCTGCTGATCAAAATAATCGCAAAATAGCTTTGAAACATTATCACAAAGCAATATCGTAAGTAAAAGTGTACTCGCTACATCAAGTCCATTTTAATAATTTTTTTATTTTTGTTAGTCTTTATCCGGAATATGAATCTGCTTTAATGAATTTAGGAAATTTATATAGAGAAATTGGTGATTATGATGCTGCAGAAAAATATTTAAAAAAATCTATAGAGATTTTGTAGGAAATTATAGTTTTACTCGTTTTAAATAAAATTTTATTTTAACTATTTACAGAGAAGAATTTCCGCAAGCATGGATGAATTTAGGAATAGTATATCATCACAAAAAGAAATATAATATTGCCCTTGAATGCTATGAAAACGCGTTAAAATATAGAAATCGTTATCCGACCTGTTTGTACAATATGGGAAATATGTTTTTAGAACAACAAAAGTATTCTGAAGCATTGAAATATTGGCAAGAGTCGCTTTTTCTTAATCCATTGCAATCAAAAGCTTGGGTAAATATGTTAACTCTTCTTGATAATCGAAAATTATACGAAGATGCCTTAAGAACATCCGATCGGGCATTAAGCTTCTTGCCTAATGATACATCAATTATGTTTATTAGAGCAAATGTTGAAGGAAAACTGGGAAATTATATTGAAGCAGAACAACACTATTTGAAAGTAATAAGTACCAATCCCAGTAACGCCTTATATCATGTTAATTTAGGTATTTAAAAATTATTCAGTACATTTTTTGCATGTTCTTTATTATTAAAATTAATGATCCTTAGGTGTTTTGTACCACCGTTGGAAAAAATATGATTTAGCTGGAAAAAGTTATAAAAAAGCTTTATCTTTAGACCCAGATCTCAAAAGCGCAAAAGTCAATTTAGTGAAACTACTAACAGCCAAGCAAAAAGAAGACTGAATAAACAATTCTACAACAACTTGTTTTATTAAATTAAAAGAATAATGCTTAGATACAGCGCAAGCATAGAGAGCAATGTTAAGGAATAGGTAGAGTAATATGGAAATTTATTAACAAATATTTAATCGAAAATATGTACATTAAGATATTTAACGGAGAAAAATAAATAGCAAAATGTAAAAACGTAAAAACCATTTATATTATTTAAAATCTCTGAAATAATACGTACGTAACTCGAAATAAAAGTAATTTTAAGTAGCTTCAATTTAAATTAATTTTAACAATTCAAAGCATCGTTGTTAAGATTTATAATTATATTTATTTAGTCCAATATTTGAAAAATCAGAAATTTTTTTGTAAATGTCGATCTTTTGTAAAGTTTTATTAGATTTTTGCTTGATTTAACTTACAAGCTATATGAATTACATATTTTAAATAACTAAATGTCATGCAATTAGATTTAATTTTCCGCTTTAATTTTTAATTTACTCCCTGTATTCTCTGAGTTTTTGGCGAGTCCGAAATAAAACGTTGTAGCATCTGATGCTTCAACGGGCGATTGTTCCAAAATAATTATACCATTTTGAATCTCTTCTACATTATGTTTCTTAACGTGATTTTGAAGGTATTCTTTTTTTGTAAATCCGGTATTGCAAATTTCACATCTACATAAAAGTTATATAGTAAATAGTTTAAATAGTTAGCAATTTTAAATATAAATAGTTTTTCTTAAGAAAGCATTCCTTAAATTTCTTTCTAACTTACGTGAAAGCTTTATAACCTGTATGAACGCTTTGATGTTTTTTGAGTGCATGAGAGTACATGAAACTCTTGTTACAAGTTTGACAACTGAAAATATGTTAAATTTAATTTATATTTTTTAAGTCATAAAGGTTTTACTTACGTATACGGCCTTTCTCCTGTATGACATCTAAAATGAAAATTAAAAAAATATGTTATGTATATTTATCTACAGTTAATTCTTCCTCATCACTTACCGTTCATGTTTTATTCGGCTACCATAATCTGAAAATTTTCGATCACAGTATTTACATGCATAAGGTTTTTCTCCAGTATGGACTCTCTAATAATACATTTTTCGATTTATTTAAGATCTTTTCAATATCAAGTATAAAAGTACACTCACCATATGACGTCTTAAATCAGTTTCAGTAGCGAATCTTCTTTTGCAAATTCTGTAAATTATTAAAATTAGTTATCTGTTCTATTGTATTACAAATAAAATTATTACTCGCATTCAAATCTTTTTACTTTATCATGCCTCATCCTATGATATTTCAAATGACTTTGACTATAATAATTACCTTAAAAAAGAAATTTAAGAGCTTTAAGAACTATTCTTTTTAAATGTTCACATACCACATAAATCGCATATACTTTTTTGAAATTTCTCTTTATTTATTCGTTCTAAGGCTCTCTGCTTAGATTCTTCGAAAATATTCTTATTCTCCAATTTCTTTGTAATTTTGAACTTTACCTAAAATAATTTTGTATAAATGAATTTGTATAACTACATAGTTAGAATTTAAAAAACTAACATTTTTAGTCTCTTCAATATTGTCGTTAACACTACTGTTTTCATTTTCAAAATCGCTTGCAATATGCTCTTCATAGATAATGAAATTATCCGCATTATCTTCTTCTTCAACTTTAGTAATATTCTCAGAGTCCGTACACTTTTTACAAACCCCAATTGTATCGTCTGCAATTCTCAATAATTCATCATTCGCATATTTTTGCAATTTTTTATTCAAATTTTCTAGCTTATTTTTGGAATGTTCCGATAAGGTGATCAATTTATATGCAACATTCAAATCGAAATAGCATTTTTTGCAAACGTTGCTTGGATACAACGTTCGTTCTTTTAGTTCGGCAGTCTATTAAAAATATAAGGCATTCTGTATAATCCAAATTTAGAAAACCAGAAATTTCAAACTTACCTTAAAATTTGTACATTTAACTACTTTTTCAAGTATATGACTGTCTGAATCTTTATTTTCCAAAATTGGAATCATTTTGAACTCACTTTCTTGTAAACAAATAAGGCAGTTTTTTTCCCACAAGCCATTCAAATTAATTTCCATTGCGACCAAAACTTTTATTAATTGATAAATAATAAAAGCAAACAAGTAACAAAAAATATTCTTTTGTTTTGAAGAAATTTAACCACGGCTGACAAAAATTTATCTGTCAAATATTTTAAAAAATTTTATTGGCATTGTCGTCTCCCTTTCTAGTTTGACAATTTATAATCAAAATATTATTGTGAATAGACTTAATGGCAGGGATGTCTCTTTTTAAAATTAATTCCAAAAAAAATTCTGCAAATCAATAAATTAATCTTTAGTATTGCTGAACATCCGTTATCAACACCATTTAATATTAATATTCTGGAAAGAATATAACCAAGAGTACAGTAAATTTACAATTTTCAGATCGCAATTAGGTCAAAAAAAATTTATTCCGCCTAAAAAATATTACAGTTAACAACACAATTTTTGGTTGCAAATATCAATTTTAGCGTATACCTTGACATAACAAAAATATCTAAGTATTGCTGTCAGCAGTCGTGGTGTATGCTAATCAATATTATTTTTTGATTAATACTAACTTTATAAATACCTCAGCCGGTTTCTGAAAAGCTCGTGAGGACGGGGAATTTTGTGGATCCAGATTCTAGAATTGTCACAACGGGGCGTTCTGCCAATAAGAATAGCAGCCCGGTCGACTTAAACTTACCCTAACTAACTTTTTAAATTGAAAACTGTCAAATTCCATAGCAAAAATAAATATGTACATAAATATAAAAAAACACTAGGTCTGTCTGCGATAAGAAAGTTATTATGAAGTTTTTGCATGCAAACTGTTTGAGATAATACTTTTTGAACAAAAATGAGAGAAAATAATGACATTCTCATTTTCTCGATGTTTAACGTTTTTTCCAGTTTTGTAAAGTAAGATTTGAAAAGTTTTTAGAGTTTTAAAAACTTTTCAAATCTTACTGCTGCTTTTCTTGGTTATCTCTGAAGATTTTATTTTTGAAAAAAAAATTTTTCATCAACAATAATTTTTTTTTTCAAAACATTTCAATAAAAATAAATTAAAATAACCAAAAAAGGTCCATAAATGGTTTTTTCTAAGTTTCACACTTTTATAATCCAAAATTAAAATTTTCAGTTTTTGGTATAACCAAAAAATATTTGTTTATGTTTGATAAATAATTTGAAATTTGATGTTTATAACTAATGTCTTTATATCTAACAAGTCCCAATACTCAATTTTTTTTACGAAATATTACGAATTTTTGGCTTCGTTGCTGGTTTTTTCTTTAAATGCCACTGATCGTGTCATATTTTTTATTATTTTTTTCTTTTTTTTTAAGTAAAAAAGAGTTTATTATTTTAAAAAATCTCAGGATATTATACACATTTTTTAAAAAGCTTCGCATTTAAATTCTATTGCACGAAAAAGAAAGAAAGGTAGGAGGAAAGAAAAAATGAAAAAAAATTTCAAATTCATATTTCAGTATGGTTTTAAATGTTAATGAGGAAGGATGTATGATTTTTTATGCACATTTTGTATTTCCAAGTAAGGCAAGTTGAGTAATGTCGGCTAACAAAAATGTTATTAAAAGTAATATAGGTTGACACATTTCAACAATTTGAATTATCTCATTTCGGTTATTTATACGTTACTTATAAAATTGTTTCAAATAATTTCAGTTAGTTTTTAAGTTATTAAAAATAAATATGTATGTACCTACTTCCAATAAAGTTTTTTTTAAATAATTATTTTAAAACTATTTAAAACATGTTATATTGAGTGCTTCAAAAATTTTGCTATTGTCTTTTTTCATATTTTATTAGGAGGTAAACAAGAGCAATCTATTTATAAAATGTCCCTGCATGTGTATGTATGACCTATCTTAATTCTAAACGGAAAGAATATTACATAAAGAACAAAAATTTTAAAATACCTGTTATTTTACAGTCGGAATTTTTGAGTCATTTGGTAAAATACAATTTATTTCAAAAATAAAAAAATATTCAAATCCGGTCATAAAAATATATGATTGTTTTTTCCAAACATTTTAAATATTTTTTTTTCTTAGGTAATTGATATAAATGATAGTAAGTTTTTAATATTTTTTCAAATAAAAATAGAGGTAAAATTTTGAAGTTTATATAAAATTTGTATTTCACAAATAATATTTGATTGTATTTTAGATATTATTTTCTAATTCCCTCTTCAAATTTTTTCTTTACTATGTATTTATATCAATATTTAAGAATTATCTTTCATTAATTATATTTTCAACTTGACACCACAGTTACTCCCCATATCTTGAGTTAACTTACCCTATGAGAAAAAAAAGCTGTTCACTTAAAAATAATGAAATGCTTTCAGTATCATATAAAACGTTGAAGGTGAAGGATGTGCTTGTTGTTTTTCCGCTTTTTTTTATAATTTTAAAATAATTATCAATGAAAATATTAATATATTTTTTTGATTTTTCAAATATATTTTCTAAATTTTACCTTCTTTATAAGTGTGAATTTATTTTAATATTTCTTCTCAAAAAATAGCCACTTCGATTTAAAAAAACCCATCTAAAATAAGGTCGTGCTTTCAAGTTTCTCTCTATTTACAAAGTTTTCAAAAGTTTCTCAAGTTTTCTGTCTGGTCCATTTTTTTTAAGATTTTTTTCTTTTTGAGAGAAATTTCGCCAATGTTTCTCTTTTTAAAGTTTTTGCAAGTTTTATCCCATACTATTTGAAAAAAATAGTTCAATCAACATTGACATATCAAGCGACAAAACCACAAAATGTCAAAATTATTATGTCAAAAAATTAAGTTTCAAAAGGGAGATTGCTTTGTTTTTATTTGAGTTGGATTAATCTAGTTCTAGCCATGTTTTAGTTTAGTTTCTTCTAAAAACTTAAAACAATGGATCAAGGGTCTTATCCAAAGGATATAATTGATTGCGAGAATTTGATTTTAAGCAAAATAAGGCAAATAAACGAATTAAAAGATGATATTTTCAAGTTGAAACAAACTTTGTTATTTAAAAAACAAACATTTATTAAAAAGCAAATATCAGAACATGTAAGTAAGCATGGTTTCAGGACGACATTGATTTAAATATTCATTTGATTCATTAAACCAATTATCAGAATTATCCAAACCGTGAACTCTCAAATGATGAAATTCAGCTCTATAGTAGGCAAATGATTATTCCAGAAATTGGAATTTTGGGGCAATTATCGATAAAAAAGTCATCAATACTTGTGGTTGGTGCTGGAGGGTTAGGATGCCCCTCTTTAAACTATTTGTGCAGAGGTGGAGTGGAAACATTTGGCATTGTTGATTATGATACTGTGGATATGAATAATATACACAGGCAAACTTTGTACGAACCAAATGATATCGGAATTTCAAAGGTTGAAATATCCAAGAGAAAAATACTTGAAATAAATCCTTTATGCAAAGTCGTAACCTATCACTGTCAGTTGCATAGTAATAATGCCGTAAACATAATAGAAAAGTACGATATAGTTTTGGATTGCACTGACAATGTTGCCACGAGATATCTTTTAAATGATGCATGCGTTTTACTGAAAAAGCCTCTTGTGTCAGCAAGTGCATTAAAGGTAAATTTGACTCTTATAATAAATGTTATGAAAATGGTAAATAATTTGTTATTAGTTAGAAGGTCAGCTGACAGTTTATAATTATAAAGAAGGACCATGCTATCGATGTCTTTTTCCCAAACCACCTCCACCAGAAACGGTTACAAATTGTTCAGATGGTGGGATTTTAGGATGTGGTAATTAAAATGCTAAAAACTCATTTGTTAAAGTATTTTTATTGAATTTGTATTTTTTTAGTGACGGGTATAATGGGTTCTTTACAAGCTTTAGAAGCCTTTAAAATAATTCTAAATTTTTCGGACATACTGAGTGGACGTTTATTACTTTTCGACGCAAGTACATCCACATCTAGAAATGTGAAATTGCGTGGTAAAAATCCTAAATGTTCAGTTTGTTCAAAATGTCCAGAAATTATTGACCTAATTGATTATGAACAATTTTGCGGAATGAAAGCATCAGATAAAGATTATGCTTTGAATGTGTTAGATCACCAAGAAAGAATGACGGTTGAACAATATAAAAGTGACTTTGTTGATACGAAAAAAGATCATCTACTCATTGATGTACGTAGTCCTATTGAATATGAATTTTGCAAAATTCCAAATTCCATGAACATCCCTTTGAAATATATTTTGGAAGATAAATTTTTAGAGCTTATAAAGACTTACGCCAATGCCGGTTCCGATGGTAACAAATTGCTAAATTTACAAATTATTAAAATAATTCATATATTTTTTCAGTTATAATAGTATGTCGACGAGGAAATGATTCCCAACTTGCTGTTAGACATCTTAGTGAAAAACTTAGAACTTTAGCATTTCCAAAAGATATAATAGGTGGTCTCTACGCTTGGCAACATAAAGTTGATAAAACATTTCCAATTTACTGAAATAAACTGAAACTGTTTTTGCCTTTATTTTCTGATAATTCTACATAAAATCATTTTCTATATATGTATAATCTAATAATACTGTTAACGTAGTTTAAGTTCAAACAGCACTGTTGATTTATGCATGTATTAAGTTTGTTTTTTTATTAACATGAAAGGGGAAAAAATGAGAGGATTTGAATATTAAGGACATATTTTGTTGAAAGGTCATGAGTGTTGTTTTTTTTTTTGTATGAAAATGGCCTTATTTTTGAAAGAGGTCTCTACTTTTGGAATGTGAACATTTAGTGTTGTGAGAGGCATTTTTCCAGTGCAAAATGTACATTTTTGTGCATTTTGGTTTGTGCTCCTCGTGGACGAAGTGTATGCGACTCTTTAGAATACAGGAATGTAAATTTAAAAAATCAAATCGCAAAGAATTTTCCTATAACTACAAATGTGTGGTTAAAATAATCAATCGTTTCATATTCATTGCTTCTTGGGTTATTTCAAAAGCTTTAAAATTTTTAAAAAGCTTTGAAGAAACAGCTGTTTCACGTAACTTTCAAAAATTTTTAACAATAATATTGATATTATTGTAAAAACAGTCTTACTATAATAATAGAGTCCCAACTTTTACTGAAATTTTGCAAGTGGTTGCGAGGTGTACTGCAAGAAGTTAGTTCAGAAATTTAAACGCACACACGTACATGCACATGTACGATACAAAACAAAAAAAAAAATAATGTTCTCTAATAAGGTTTATCATAACAGTACAAATAAAATTAACAAATATGAAAATTCAGAGGGACCCCTTTTACCAATAATCTACTCAAAAAGATATGGTGTTCATTTCTGTGGACTCCAAAAATTACATCCCTTTGATGCTGAAAAAGGCCATCACATAATGAAGGTAAAAGGAATTTCTTTTAGTATGATTTGGATTTGAATTGATTTCATTTTGGTTGTGATTACAGTTCCTTAAAGAAGAAAAATTTTTAAGTGAAGAAGATGTTCAGGTTCCCAATGAAATTGAAAAAAAAGATTTGTTGAAAGTTCACACGAAAAAATATTTGAAAAGTTTGAAATGGAGTTGGAATGTTGCCAAAATCGCTGAAATTCCCCTTTTAGTTTTTGTACCAAATTCATTTGTGCAAAATGGCTATTTACGTCCAATGAGGTTTCAGACAGCAGGTAAATTTTATATCTTCTTTTCGAAAACTAAAATCACTAACAAAAATTATTTTCAGGTTCAATTTTGGCAGGTAAATTAGCTCTTCAGTACGGATGGTCGATAAATTTAGGTGGTGGATTTCACCATTGTTCTGCAGATAAAGGTGGAGGGTTCTGCCCATATGCAGATATAACATTACTTATAAGAAATTTATTAGAACAAGAAGATAAACTTGTTAAAAATGTTATGATAATTGATTTAGATGCACATCAAGGAAATGGACACGAACGAGATTTTATAAATAATGCCAATATTTACATTTTGGATATGTATAATGCAGCAATATATCCAAGAGATCATCCAGCAAAGTTGGCTATACGATGTGCCGTTGAATTGAAACCCAGAACTCCTGATAAATATTATTTAAACAAATTGAAAAAGTAAAATAACTTAAAATTGATTTAATATTTACTCATATTACTTGAATATTTTACCATAGATCGTTGAATACGTCCTTTAATGAATTTCAACCAGATTTAATAGTCTATAACGCTGGAACTGATGTTTTGCAAAATGATCCATTAGGTCTTTTAGATATAACACCTGAGGTAAAACTAGAAAATTAAACAATAATTTGATTTATTTTTTAAAAATCATTTGTTTTTTAGGGTGTGATTGAGCGCGATGAAATTGTTTTTTCGACTGCAATTAGTAAAAATGTTCCAATTGCAATGTTATTAAGTGGTGGTTATTTGAAAAGGTCTGCTAAAGTGATTGCCGATTCTATATTAAATTTAAAAAATAAAAATTTACTTATTCAAAGAGTACACAACTAGTCAAGTTTTAATATCTAAAATGGGTTTGATAACCAAAAATGATATTTTTTAAATATTTAAATGTAGTTCTAACTTTATACTTAAAATTTATCAAATCTATATTAAATTTAATATAAAACAGGAATACTTAAACAAATTAGGTACCTTTATGCTTTGAAAGAGATTTATATATGCTAATGTGAATTGCCAAAATAGTTCTTTGATAATAAAGAATATTTGAAAGTAGCGAACATTTCGCAGAAATTGAGTGTAGTAATAAAACTTATAAACCATGTATTTTTAATAAGGATTTATATATGGATATGTATGTGTATAAATAATTTTTAATTAATATATATATATTTATATATAAGCATATGCATATGTGGACACATATGTATTAATATATATTTATTAATTATTTTTTAAAAATAAGGAAGTTTTGAAATTAGTCTATATAATTTTTTATATTCTATACTTTAAATAATTTATTTTTTATTTCTAAACTTAATTTGTCTTAGTTTTTTAATGTACCTGCTGCATTATAAATTTAAATAAAATAATTAAATTTGTGCCAAAACGCAAAATCCAATTCTCGGCCTAGCAAAAAAATCTAATAAAAACTACCTATTTAAATACATATAATACAATATAAATAATTATAATGGCAGAGGATTATCTAAATTATTCTAAAATATATTTGTAATCACTTCTAACAAGATACTTTATGTTTAAAAATTAAAAATGGTATTTATAAATAAATATGTTAATTACTGCAAAACAAATAAAATTTAATTTTAATTATTAAATTCCAGGACATGAATGACCTTATGTAGACATAGATTGCTTCTTTTATTTACCAGATTACAAGATGAATTTATTAGTTGGGATTTATTATTATACACACTTATTTCTAAACATTTAATTATATTTTTTATTTTAGAATATTCTCTATTTTGAATTAATTTATTATATTTAGATTGATTCAAACAATGGTTTGATTTTAATTAATACTTTAATTTTTAATTAAGAACTTTTTATTACAAAAAAATAAGTGACAAATAATTAATGTTGAAACATTTTCAACATACATTGCGTGTACGATATATGCTAATGACCCTTCCTCCCTTTATTTTCAATATGTTATTATTATAGAATTATAAACAAGTACAGGTTTATTACGGCTCCACGCAGTATTTTATTGCAACTCCAACAAACAAAATTTATAAAGACTGAAATTTCCATTTAGAATGAGTACCTAGTAACAAAATTTAGAAGGAAAAATATTTCCAATTATAGAATTCTAATAGGTTTTCCAATTCTATGTACATACTCGTAAATATAATGATTTGGCCTTTTGAGAACAATTAAATAAATCTTGCTTTAGATTCAATAAAAGAGTGCCGAATTTATTTAAATTATGTAGTGTTGTCGAAGCATGTACAATTCCTAATTTTAATTTAATAAGATTTGTTACTTCCTAATAAATTCATAAACAACAAGAGCTTCCAAACTTTTAATTATTAAATTTTGTACAAAATCGATTCGAATGAATCTTAGTTTATTGAATTTTTATATAAACTTAGAAACCTAAAGAAAATATTTTGTAGTCAAAACAAAATATGTTTGAGATAAAAATAAATTTTGATTTAAAATTATTAAATCAATACTTAATATATTCTTTTTGCATTTTTATATTTTTACTTCTTATATTGAAAACATTTTCCATTTTTTTTTGAAAAATTTTTTTGTAAATTGCAACTTGAATAATAATATTGTATGAACAATTAATTGCGTACATATTTTAAAATGCTAAAAGATCGTTTTGTAACGCACGCTGATTTAAAAGAAGCTGCAGCCATAGAACGTCGTAGACAGTATGAAGAATCTAGGAAAAAAAGAATATTCAATGCCAAGCAACGGCTTTATGGAGTATTATAAATCAAAATTTCAAAACTAAGATTAAAAAAAAATTTCATTTTAGCAAGACCATCAAGCCCTGGAAAAACAAATTCATGAAAAACAAGAAGCTAAACAATCTCAAAATGAACAAGAAAGAAAATGGAACGCTGAGTTCTGTAGAAGAAATGAAGTAATTAATGCAAAAGAAAGGGAAAAAGGATTGGTACGTATAGATATTCCACTATATATGTATTTACATACATACATACATACATATTATTATTATTATTACATGAGAGAATTGTTAAATACATAATAAGTCCCATAAAAATCGTCTTTATTTGCCTTAATTGTCTTATTGTGTGTGAAATTCGATTACCTATTTAAGTGCATTCATAAGTATACATTAGTACATATATGTATATACATATATACATATGTATATAATATAATCACTAATTTTAGGAAAAGAAACGGCAATTGAATGATTTACATTTCTATAGATGTCAATACCAAAAAAAAGAAGATTCTAGAGATTATGATTTAATTGATCCAAAAACAAGAAATGAAGTAGCTAGAACAGCTGATAACGACGCTCGTTTGGGTATATCTAGCGCCCAAGTGTAACTAAATTTAATAATAATATTAAACTTAGCATTTTTCATACATTTAAGGAAGAATGTTAATTAATATTTTATTTAGGTTTGCAGGAGAAGATATTTTGATTCATGAACGTAAAAGATTACAAAAACAGCAATTAAAGGCTTGGCTAGAACAGCAAGTAATATTAAAATTTTCTTAGATTCTTATTTTAAATTTACTAATATGGGGTATACTTTTACATATTAGATGAAAGAGAAAAGGCAAGCTGAAGCTGACAGGAATGAAGCTGATATTATTTTGCAAAAAACAATGAATTCAAGAGATCAACTAGCATTAGAAATGGCGAATATGGAAAGAAATAATGCTCAGAGAATGCAATATGCTGTTTTAAATTACAATAAAAAATTGGTAAGGTGCAATAAAACATAAGTATACATATGTATATATGTATATGTATATGTATATACATATATTAATATTTACATTTCTAATCTACTATAAAATATTGCAAATAGGCAAATGAACAGAACTGGAAAAGACAATTAGCTAAAAAACACGAGGATGAAGATAATAAAGCAGAAATTTATAATATGATTACAAGTGACATCCTAACTGAAAATCCTGACGTAGCACAAAGTCGAATGGGTTTACATCGTAAAATTGCTTTCGAATATCGTGGCATGAATGCGGAAGAATTAGAACATTTCAAAAGAGAACAATGTAAACAAATCGAAGAACGTAAGGTAATTGATTAACAAAATGTATTACGGTAACGCTCTTTTGATATAATGCATTTTTGAAAACTAAGCGAAACTGAAACTGTAAACTAAGCGAAATAGCACTTTTATTTATTTAAACTGAAATTTTTCGAATTTTTCTTGTAATAGAAACGTGAAACAGAAGAAAAATTAAAGGAACAAATGTGGGATCAAATGGACATGAATATAACTAGAGCTTGTATGTTAAAAAAATCAGAACAAGAGGAAAAAAATAAGTAAGGGCTCAAAAGTTGTTCGCAATTGTATTAGAAAAAAAAAATTATATATTTTGTTTTTAGGAAAAATACAATAATTTTAAATGAAGAAAACGTTCGGTTGGCCCAGAATCAAAAAAGTCAAAATACATACATAGATAAAGTTCTATATGCTAATGAATGTACTGAAAAATTTTTTGATCAGTTCAATACAACTTCTCGTTAAGAAAAAAAATCAGTAGACTGAAATGAACAGAAGAGAACTGGTTAACGTACTTTGGCCTTCACTCGTTTTAACTGTGTTTTACAGAAGTTTATATTTAAAATTTTTGTTAAAGAAAATCATTCCAAAACATCTCAAAATTTATATAATTTTTTTTATAAAATACTTATAGAGCTGCAATAAAACATCTTTAACCTATTCAAGCAATCACTTTATCTTATTGAATTTATAATCCACAGAAATCTGTAGAAGAAAATTATTCAAATGAAGAGACTTATTATTTTTACATAAATTGAGAAATTGTAATTAGTACAAATTATTGTTTTGAGTTCCAATCTTTGAAAAGTGTGACATTGATGGACGGTTGTAATTTACTTTCGTTGTGAATTTTTACATTCTGCTTTGGACGATATGAAGAAATCAAATTGCCCTCAATTTCTTCACTTTTCACTTTTAAATAAATCTTATAATAAGTCTAAATCCTTTTAGTTTAAAAACTTTCATATAAAACATTTTTTTTAAATAATTATTTAAGAATCATACATTTTTTTCATAATATAATATTCAAATACTTATATTATTTTTAATTTTTAACAATGGCAGGTATATCACATGTCGAACTTAAAATATTTGCTATTGAAACGTACGGCATTTCGTCCAGTTCTTCCGATACTATAGATTGTCGTCTTGAAATAATTATTTGAGAATTTTTTCTATATATTTCTGTTGATGGAACATCAAATATTTTCGGCTGATCATCATCCCAAAATGAATTATTTAAAAATGTCATAAATAATCCAGCTAGTATGCCTAAGAATGCAAAAACTGTTATTGGTATTAAATGGTGAATAATCGATAAAGCTGTAATAAATGGTGCAAAAAGTAACCACAATCGACTATATGTTGTAACAGAGAACATTAATATTGGACGTTTTTCTAATTTCACCATTTCTTTTGTACATGTTGTCAAAATTGCCATCGACATAGCATTAGCCATTTTTAAACAAATGCAAAATATCATGTCGAATCCAATTCTTCGATGCTCTTTAACTGAAAAATAAATAAATAAAAATTATTAGAAAAATAAATTTATTTCTTTATAAAAAAAAACAGAAATGTTGTAAAAACATGATTGATAATTTGTTAGAGATATTCTTAAGTTGTAATTAAATTTAAATTTTATTTGTATATGAAAAAATGTCAAAAATGTCATTACTGTTTGTTGGAATCAGCCATATAAAAAGTGTTATAAATCCTGAAATAGAAAATACAGAACCAGCCCATAACCAATGCCTTCTTGTGTACAAAATTAATAAAAGTCCAGCCAATATTCCAAGCATTTCAGCAAAACCTAAAACATAAAACTTAATGTTGAGAAATGCGTAAGCATTTCAAAAGGTATTCTAAATTATATATACATGTTGAATACATATTATGTTGTACGTATGTAATATATGTACATACATATATAAGTAAAAAGAAATCAGTGAATCTCAGTTATAATACAAAACTTTTGTTTTAAGTGCTTTAACAATTTTATAGATTTATTGAAGCAAGTCATTTGAATGTTGATTAAATTAAAGCATTGTCGTACTGTTAAGATCGAAGAGAGATCCAAACTGGATTATAAGCAGCATGAAGAATTACTTTTGAAAAAAATTTTATATACATATTGCGTACATACATACATACATAATTAAAAATTATAATACCTAATATTACTGTATTAGAATGTAAATGATCTACGCCGAATGCACGAATATTTATAATCATTGCATTATATAATGCAACTGACCATACCCAAGCCCAATGTACTATAAAAATTTCTCTACGTTTTGTTTCACCATCCCATAATTGAAAATATTTTAATTTATTAGTTTTTTGTATTTCAGCATGATATTGTATAAGATGATCTTCTAAATCCAATGGAATTTTTTTCGCATTATATGTTGCAGATTCTAGTAAAATTTGTAACGTTTTTTCAATTTTTCCTCTTTTAATTAGCCAACGTGGGGAATTAGTTATCCATCTAAAATAGGAAAAGAAAATATACGAGTATGTACGTACGTTTGTCAAATAAAATATAAAAAAGTAACAATTATAAAAAATTATCTTAGATATTCAGAAAAACTGCAATAGATCTAGAAAAATGTACAAATTTTTGAAAAAAACTTATCCAAATCTATTCTTTATCTTGATTTTAAATTAAGAAATCAAATTTTTATCACACACGGTAAGTAAACAAATACTAAATTTAGAATAAAAATCTATAAATATCTTAAATCTTAATTTTTATATTTTCCATAACAGTTTAATGTAATGTTAAATCACATTTGTGTTAATTAATTTTACAAACAAAAAAAAATTGTAGCGAAATCATAGCATGCTTTAATACTATTTTTAAAACCAATAATATGTATAACACTTTTTAAATAAATATGATTATGAAATATAAAACATAGGAGTAGGTAGGTAGGTTCTATTATGAAAAATATAAATTCTTATGTATGTAAATAATTTTATTGTAATATTTGTCAATATGTTTTAAATAACATTTTAATTTCTAAGTAATCATAATTGTCACAATTTTGTATTTGTGACAATTATGAACACTTTTAAATTGTATACAAATATACATAATTAATTTAAAGGAAAAGAAAATTACCGGCACAAAATTAGTAATAGAATTGTAGGTGATGATATTGAAATGTACAAAATTGCCCAGCTATCAAAAAAAATTGAAATTCCCGGTAATAAAATTAGTCCAATTGACCAGTAAAGTTGAAATAATGTTATAATAATTGTTCTAGCTTTTCCATTTGTTATATCTTGAACTACATTAGCATATACACATACATTAAATATATATGATATAAAAATATTTTTAAATTTAACTTACTTATAACTTCTCCAGCACTTATCATAAAACCGCAAAAAATTGCTGTTAAACATCTAAAGAAAATATGAAGCATAAAAGTATTAACTAATCCGGTTAAATTTCCACAAATAATTTGACATATCATTCCAAGGATCATAACACGTTTTGGAGATAATCTACAAAAAAAAAGTGTGTATGTATATTTAATAATAAATAATTACATACGTAATTTGATTCAATATATTAATAATTGTTATACATCGGAATTAAAAAAATTATGTTGAAGGCAATATTCTTATAATTTAATATAAATTATTGTAATTTATTTATATATAAATTAAAATCAAATAAAAGTTTCTATATATACTTACTTTTCTAGTATATACTTTGAAATTAAACCACCTAAAAATGTTCCAAGAGAATGAAATGATTGTGTTACACTAATTAATAGTTGCCTTGAACAAACCAAATCAAATTCAGTTATTAAAGAATTAAATTCAGTAAGAAATTCAAATTTATTACATGGAACAATATTTTTTGCATTTGATTCTATTGGTTTTAAAAATGGGTTTGAATAATTTTGTAAAATGAATTTTAAATTTTCATCTTGTAAAACATTTTCATAAATATTACAAAAATCCATATCAAATTGACGATCAGCTTTAATTTCTTCAGTAATAATTGGATGTGTTATATGTATCCAAGTTTTAGTATCATTAATTTGTACATTTTCTGGTGGTTTACAATAATATTTACCATATTTCGGTGATGGTGCTGTAAATATAATACAAGCCATAAACCATGATGATGGAATTTTACATAAAAATATTAATAATATTGTTCTTAATTGCCAACGTCCGAAATCACCATTTATTTCACTAATTATATCTTTTGAATATTCATGTTTTTTTTTTAATTTTGGTTTTCGTACCGTATCCTTAGAATTAATATCAATTGAAGTCATCACAAAAGTATAAAATTTATTACCGTATATAATAATAAATAACAAAATTTTAAAAATATTCTTTTTTCTCAAGAAAAAATTCTTGACATTTTATTTTAAGAGCACAAAGTATGTTACTCATTCAAAGCCCACATAAGAACTAAAATTTCAAAAATTTTGCAAACTGTTATACTGAAATTTTTATTAATAATCACTAATATGTTTTGTACATATTATAGTAAAATTGGAAGTTTTTCGTATCTTTTTTACAATATGTTATAAAAGCTAACGAACAAATTTATTTTACCATTAGTAAAGGTATATAGTTTAACAAGAAAGTAAAGAGTCGTATTATAGCTTTGAAAAATCAAATTCAAAATCTTTTCAAGTAGCCGGAAGAAAAGCAACTGTAATATTACTTTAATTTTGTTATATACAAAAAAAAAAACATTTTTTACAATTTTGTTATTGCATTTTGTATGGTTACTGTACGTGAGTACATAAGAAATTTTCGCATAATTAATATAATCAAAGGGTGTTAATTATAAAATAGCTCAATTTTCCTATAATAAAGTTATTAAACTATCATGACACCACTTTATTTTTTGGCAGGTGTTAAATCTTAATTTATTTTTAATTTTAATCAAAATTAGTAAAATAGATAATTTTAAGTTTAAATAAATATTATAATTGGTCTTTTAAGAGTTACTCTTGAAACTGCACAGGAATTATACATATATATAGAAATTTAAATTTAAATTTAGCTTAAAAATTTTAATATTTAATTATGCCGTAACGTTTTGTAGGGTAGGTATTTTTTTATAAATTTTTTGTAGCAATCATAACTAATTATTAATTAAGACTATACATATGTCCTTTGGTGGCATATCACAAGAAAGTGGTAAAGAATCAAAAAGATTATTAACATTATGTGGTTTAATAAGTTAGATCCCTTCATAAATTAAAATATCTTTAAAGTTTTTCAAAAAGAGACTTACTATTGTACCCTTTATTTTATAAAAAGTTGGTTAGTTCTCAACTTTTTAGCGATAACGACTAATTTAAGAGTCACTCTTTCTTTTTGTATGGAAACTTCGAAAAGGGTTCGTTATGGAGTAAAAACGAATTAAATAGGTTAACAAAAAATGACGTTTTTAAGATTATAAAGTGTTGTTATAACACGAAAGAGAGAGAATTATGTAAAAAAATTTCCTTAAAGAGAAATTGATCCCCAATTGAATTTTGTTTATGCATATATCCATTAACGGCCGAACAGATGGAATGAAACTAACAAGCACAAATATTTTTTGATTTATAATTATTGGACATAACATATATGTATAACATGTATGTATATCATAATATATTGTATGTTAGGTATAGGTACTACAAACATTTTTTGAATTTCTATATAAAATTTCTATTAAAAAACTATTTCAAAAATTAAATTAAAAATTTTTTTAAATTTTATTACGATTAATATTTTTTATTCGTCACATAATTTATTTTTTTTTTTTTATTAGAATTTTTTATTTTTCTTTTTACAATTTGATTTTTTGTACTGATGTAAATATTTACAACGTAATTTTTTTTTTATTTCTAATTCTATGTATAATTTTATTCGTTGAATTAAATACTTCTATTCTCTCTATATTAAATTAAATTTATCGATTTTTTCATTAAATATTTTTTTCTATATTAAATTTTTTAATTATATTTTACAATGGCATAGAAGCATTTTTTTTTTTTAACTTAAAATTCAGTGTAATTCTTTTTTTTTTTTGGTACGGTAATTTTAATGAAATTTATTTTGAGCAATTTAAATTATTTTTCTATTTATCTAGTATATTTTTTGGTGACTATTTAATAATCAAATTTAAAATATAAAATTAATTTCAAGCTTTTGCTTACGTGCAGTTTAATTAAAATTAAAAATTTTCCAAAAATTAATAAAGTTTTTTGAGTGTACATACATATTGTATATAAGAATTGCTTGAATTAATTTTGTCAGACAAGCTGCAGAATTTTTTGTTAGCCTAAAAGACTATAAAAGACAAAATAATGAAAGACGAAGTTATTTATAGTAAAAATATTTTAGGAGTAATAGGAAATTGTAGGAGTAATAGGAAAAATTTGTAGAGCAATAAATGAAAATACTGCTGTAAAAAATAGTATATTACATTATTTAAATTATTTCAATTTAAATTAGATATCAAATTCAGATTAGATACCATTTAGATTAGATACTAAATAAGATTCAGATACCAAAATATTTCAAATGATTGCATACATTTAGGATGACACAAAACACAATTAAAACGGCGTGAATGAGTTAAGACAAGATATATTTTTCGATGATGTGACATTTACCGGTAGCTTTGTACATTAATAGATTTTTGAAAAAGCTTCATTACAATAAATGATTGAAAACTGGAATTTTTAAGATCTTGAGAGACTATAACTTTTGGAGATGGATAACTACTTGTACGGAAATAAGTTCCTAGTAAAGATCTGTCTACATATAAAATTTCAGCTTTCTATTTTAAAGGTTAATTAATTGTATCGGCCTGACAGACAGACTGACGAACAGAGTGAAACCAATTAGTACTTTTTTTTCAAAATTTTTTTTGGGTAAGTTCTAAAAAGTTTTCATAAAGCAAGCTTATCTCTGAGGAGGAAAGATGCGGATTTACTTAAAATATTGATATCGAATAAGCAAGTATTTTGTTTATAATAAAATTTGACAATATTAAATTACAATAAATAGTCACCAATTTACCACATTATAATATTACATACTGTATAGAAATGGTTCAACCATATATAGAAATAAGTTTATTATTTAAAATATCCCATGTAATATTTTACCACTTATAACAATCTCTATTATTAAAATTTTCGTTTTTTTTTTTAGAATTATTTTTAACAATTATACAGAATTGATTTTTCTCTTTTATTAACTATAAATGTATTTGTATTTTTTTTAAATACCTAAAATAAATTTAATTTTTTAATTTACACATATACAATTATATTTAATATTTAATTTAATATTTAATTTGCAATTTTCCATAAAATATGACACCATTTTATCAATGCTGTTTTTTTTTCTTCAAAGTCGAACATTCTAAATTGTGGAACGTAATTTGAGAAATTTTGAGAGATTATGATGTATATGTTCCACAATTTAGGTAAATATTTTTTAAGATATTTTGTGTTGTTTTTTGTATATTTTGTTTGTGTAATGAAAATTTGTACGTATGTTTATTTTTGTATGTGAAATTTAAAGTTTTATAATATATTACGAGTATTTTCACCTGTTTTCGTTTGCAATAATTTTGGTATTTGTTTGTTTTTTATTTTTATGATAAAGTATGTATGTATGTATAGTTAAAATAAAGTTAATTTTTAACTAAGGGGTGTATTAGAAAATTAAAAATATTATTTTATGACAAGGCAAAAAATTGTGTTTAAAGCGCTACTTTCCATAAACTAAAAATATTTTATGCACACTTAACAAAAGTTTAATAGAAAAGAAAACAAAATTTAATAAAGTACCGCAAGAGCACAATTATAAATTGTATTTTTTATGACATTTATGCAAAAGCATGTGGGTGCTTCATAATATAAAATCATAAAGGTTTAAAAGAGGGAGAAATAAGCATTTCGAATTATTTGAATTATAGGAGTTTTAATTAAAATATAGTATATGTTCTTCATATGATTATTGACTTATTTATATTATACGAGTATACGAGTATAACAAAAATTTTCCCTTTCTAATCGAAAATATTATAATATCGAATTTTTGTTCAGAGAATGCAAAGTGTCCAATATTAGAGTGTTGAAACTTGTATATAAATAAACAAAATATTCACGTATTACAAATTGCTTTTAAATTTCATATTTTTTTAATTAAAAGTGTTATACTGAAAAAACGGGTTAATCATTAAATGAAAACTATTAAATCAAATATAATATTCATTTATAAAATAAGTAAAAAAGATAATGTGTTAGTTGTAAATTACAAAATTGAATATGAAGAACCCTGTTTATTGCAAATGTATAGTTGTAAATAAATTTTAAATATCTTACGGAAAAGGAAAATATGGAGGATATCCACAAAATTTTGTACTTTGCTTGAAAAATATTTTTTAAATGTGCTTCTAATGTATATGTGTGTATATTTACAATGTATCTGTACGTTTAAATTTGTATAGTGTTTTGTTGATTTGATTACAATTATAAAGTCTATGTATGTTTATGTATATGTAATTATGTTTACAATTTAATTTTGACATGGTATTAAATTTGTATTAAATTTTCGAATGTATAACAATATTTATAAATATTTTCTACCGTTTTCTTTTGCAAATTATTCAACATAAAATTGATTGTATTTTTCACCTTCATTCGGATGCGAGAAAATATTTTTAATTCATATTCGATCTGGACGGATTATTTATCCGAAGAAACACTTTTTTCGAACTACAATATTATATGAACTGATTCGAATATTTTCGAACACATTTATAATTAATAAAGAAAAGTTGAATATGTGTGTTGCCAACTAACATTAAAGTAAGGGAAAAGATTTATAATTATAAAGGTTGTGCTTTTTTACTGTATAATAAAATATATAGTTAGTGTTAATTAGCATATTTTACATAATTTTCGGCGTACACATGTGTAATAAAATATTTGAAAATAATTCAAATTTCTACTGTTTAACTTATATATTTAAGTTAAATATTTGAAATATATATATGTATTTATAAATATGAAAAAGTGTTTTGGATATGCACCGCATCCCCTATGAAGGTTAAAAGAATATTTTCCGAATTTCAAGTATATGTGTATAGTATGCGTATATGTGTATATTCAAATAAACTATATAAAGATCCTAATGCATATGTCATACTAACGCGTTATTTGGGGGATGTTTTTATCTAACGTAAATTTATATAATGCAAATCATGTATATAAGGGAAATGTTATGAAATGCAACTTGTATACATTCATAGTATACAATTTGGACAGGTATAATACGTGAAAGCTTCTTTATGTACTATGAATGGTATATGATTATAGTGTTATACAATATTATAAATATAAAATACTAAATGTAATAATACTATTTTTTATAAATTAATTAAGTTCAATTTCTAATATTATAAATTTTAATTAAAAATTTTGAAATAAAAATTAAAGAAAAAAATTATTTGTAACAAAATAAATGTTTTTGACTGAAATAACATTAATATGTTGCTTGTATAACATTATTATTTGTTAATAAATTTCACGTTACTTTCAAAGGGACAGGATATACATATCACAGATACAAATTGAACATGTACTGCGGGAATAAAATTTAAAAATTAATGTAATTTTTAATAATATTGGAAATTATAATTATTTGATCGTATATATTGTTGGGCTAATTATTTACTTGAAATATGAATCTATTATACGTATTTAAAAAAAGTTTATAATACTAAAATTTTAAAATATAACTTATAAAAATCATATGCATTAATACAAATTTTAAAAATAAAATAATATAAAATGAAAAATAAAATAAAAAAATAATATAATTGATAATAATTCTCTATAAATATTCCCAAAATATAATCCAATAAGTTAAATTTAACATCGCAAATAAAAACGGGAAAAATATTCGTGAAAATCTATCAATATTTATAGCCATTTTTAATTTCTGTTGAGCTGGTGTCAATTTTGGTAAATCAGCCTTTTTCTGTTCCGGTTTATTAGCTGTTGGAGCGCCTGTTTTATTTGATTGTGCTAATGAGGGTGGTGGCGCTACAATTGGTGTTAAAATAATTCGACTTTCTTGACGTGGTATCCATGGACCTTCTGGTGAATTATTATTTTCCATAAGGCGAACAGGTGATGGATCATGACGATTATGCGAATGCGCATGATGATGTGAATGATGCTGATGACGTCTATTTGCATGTGCTAATATAGATGGTGCACCTAAGGATACCGTTGGTGTTGGATTTAAAGTTACTCCGGTATTAGCTGATTTCTATATAAGAATAAATAAGAGAATTAATATATTTTTCCAAAATTTTATATTTAAGCGACGACATACTTTACGATTGCCAGCTTGTAATTCATCAAAAATTTTTTCTATTTTTTCAATTTTTTCACTTTTTGTTTCAGTTTTTGCAGCTTCTTCTTTTTTTTGTTCTTCTGGTGGTTTTGGTGGCGCTGCCGGTTTCGGTACTTGAGTGCCCTGCAAATGGATTTTCATTTTATTAATGAATAATTTATTTTAGTAGTATAAATTAGGGGCTTTAATTTACTTACCAAAACCATATTAATTAGACAATATTCCATTAGAGCCATGAACACGAATACCGTACAAACGGACATAAATGCATCAACAGCTTTCAAATAAGAAACGGGCGGTAACGATGCTTGAGATTTTGCATGCTGTGTAGAAAGTGTCAACAGACTAGTGACCCCCAAAGTAACCTAAATAGCCAGATTTGTTTTTTGTTTGGTTTTCAGTTTTTTTTTTACATTTTTATATTGAATGCAATTCAAAAAAGATTTTTTTCTTTCTATTAAATTTTATATATAGATGATTATATTTAAATTATCACATACATATGTATATATAAACAAATAGGATTAATTAAGAGAAACGGAAAATTAAAATTATTTTTTTTTTATTTACCCTAGCAGGTGCAGCTTCTGGTTTAATCCAAAACGATACCCATGACATTATAACAATCATACATGTTGGTATATATGTATTTAAAAAGTAATAAACTAAACGACGTTTTAAGACAAAAATAACTTCTAGACATGTAAAATTTCCAGTTGAATAAATTTGTGTGCAATCAGCTGTATAATTTTTAGTTAAAGCCAATTGTGGCAATTCAATACTTTCATCAACAACTAATGGAACATCAGGATCCCACTGAAAAATCATATCATCCGTTGTATGGGAAACTGCATGCACATAATATATATATAGGATAAGAATTAGTTTTTCTTTTTATTTTCCACTTTAAATATTAAAAAAATTTTCTTTTTTTTTTTGTAGGATTCAGAATAAAATTTCTCATATGAATAATCAATTATGAAAACCAATATATAATTTTAATTGGAACAATAAATTTTTATTATATAGGTTTAAATTGGAAATAACAATTAAAAATTAGTTTAGAAATAATGATTAAAAGTGAATAATTTTGTAATATAACGTTAATAAGGTATACAATATAAAATATGTATAAATAATTAATTTAAGAGCCATTTTAATGCACATAAGTATATAATAATTTGGATTGTATTATGAAATTGTAGCAGTATCAACAAAATTAATTTGTTATTTGCCTAGATTTGCTCAGATTCGCTCAGATTAGCTCAGATTCGCTCAGATAATCTATGTTTTAGCATAAAATATGGTATATGTATATATACGTTTAATATTAAATTTGAAGGCGAATAAAATCAGTTATAAAAATCAATTTTTGATATAGATAACAAATAAGAGATTTTGAATATAGAGAACAAGTATATTACTCGTAATTGTATTTGATCAAAAATATTTTCTTAAAATTTGAAATACCATGTTTTAGTTTGGAGTTAAAGAATTTTGTTTATGTTAAAATCTATATGGTTACAGTTTTTCAATGTCAGCGTATAACAATTTAATTCATTTTAATATTTATAATACTGTTTACAACAATGATTAATTCAAATTCTTAATATTAGTATGTAGTAAAAAGAAAATATACACTTATGAAGAGCAGCTCCTGTGTACAGAAAACATTTAATAGCATTCTCTCTTAAAAGTGTAATAAATTTAATATTAGTAATAACTACTTTCGTTGAATATTTCATTCAATTAATTTTACAATCGAATAAATATTGTATGCCAAATTATAATATATAATGTATTAAAGGTGAATTAAAATTTGAATTATACCAAATGAATTGTATTAAATTTTATGCTGCAAGAGTGTATTCAAATTTAATTTATATTATAGAAAATAATAAGACTTAAATATTTTTATTTGTAATATTTTTAAAAAGTTTTAATAATTGCACTATAATCTAATTAAATTTCTTTAAATTACGATATAGTATACAATCTGGTTTAATAAGATATACGATTTAATTGAAAAATATGGATACTGAATATAATATCAGATCATGTAGCATAATCATTCTAGTTTCGTGACCACAATGTTATCTAATCAGTAATCACAGATAGAATCATTTTCCAAAAATTTAGAATTTTGTTTTAAAATATTTATATATATATATATAATATACCTTCAAACGTTATATATAACAATTAATTAAAATTGTATTAATTAAAGTTTTAAATTTATGAAAACGTGCATAATGGCATTCATGTCTTCAGAATCTCAAATTTGATAACAATTAAAAATTTTTCGAAAATTTGGAAAAATTCATATTATATAGTACTCTCCTAATAAGTATATATTTATTTTAGTAATAATTATAATAAAGGTAAAAAAGAATTTAAAAATACAATATAGATGAAATAAATTTACAAAAAGAAAGATATTGAAAATTAGATAGAAATAGTAACAAACAAAAAAAAAAGATATAGATAAATAGAAGATTTGAACTTGCAAAATTTTTATTTTTTTTTTAACAAAAGAAATTTAATTAAAAAACTTTAATGAAGTAAGAGAAGAATATAAACTTTAAAAATTTTAACAATAAAGAGAAAAGAAAAAAAAACTTTGTATTGCATGCAATACTGGGGCCATAGGTTGCTTTTGGTAAGTCCCAGCTGTGTAAAATCCATATATATAATTTGATTTCAAACATATAAAAATATTTTGTTATTATTAATTTTTTTTTTCGTTAACCATATATAAAAGATTAAAAAAATATTAAAAAATTTCTTAAAAAAACTTCACTAAAATACAATAATTTTTAAAAAGATTTATAGTACAATATTTTTTGTATTGCAAAAAGTATAATAAAAAAAAACATACAAAAGAGTATACAATTTTACATATATAAATAATGTGTGTATGTAATTAAAAATATAAATTATATTTTATTTATTTATAAGGCATTTTCGGCATGGCATGAATATAAACCAAATAGAAAATAAATTTTTTGTAAATTTTAAAAAAATCTACCGATCAAATTATTTTCTGATCGTATAACTTTTATCCGAAAATGTCCTATTAAAATTGCTTTACAAAACTTAAAAAAAAAATTTTATGAAAAGCCAACATAAAAGAAATGTTCATTTTGTTCGGTTTTTTTTTTCACAAAACTTACGACTTTCCATTTGTAATTTACATTCCTGTGTATCATGCGGATATATCGCAAAATTCATAACACAGGACAATTTTAAAGTTAACTTTACCATATATAATATCGTTTTATCTTTATATAACCACAGATAATGATTAGGAATTGTCATCGTTTGAAATATTACAGCTTTTGCATTCTTAAAAAATGAATCGGGTCGCCACATTTGCTTTAACCAATCAACCTCTAATAAACGATATTCAGCTGTCATATTTTCTGGTAATCTTAATCTATGATCTTTCCATGTTTGTGCAAAAAATATATCAGCAGCATATGTCATTGATGTTTCATCAATTGAATCGAGACCCATAACAGTTACATGAAAGAAAACAATTGTTGGTTGTCCATCTTTTTTTGGTGGTCTCATTTTGTCATAACTTTTTACATTTAATGGTAATATATCGGTAAATTCTAAACTTTGCCTTTAAAAAAAAAATTATTTTATAGAATTCAAGATTAAATGGTGATGATTAAAAAAAAAATTGTTTGACTTACTGAAATTCGGCATTTGATATATTTGCTAAGCATATTGTTAAAATTAGTAAAAACCTTTGAAGCTCCATTTCTAAAACAAAAAAAAAAATGATATAAAGAGTGTTGAATATAACTTGAACAATATAAAGAGTGTTGAATATTTTAAATTTACAGTATTTTTCTAATTAAAAATAAAGATTATCATGGTTTAATTTCCCCTAACTGATTAATGTACCGAATATGAAGTATACCTTTTCTTTCATCAAACTAGACTATCGACATTTCTTTTTTTATTAAACATTGAAATTCGTCTATGGATGAGCTTTTTGTTGAGAATAAATACTCTCTTTCGAAATCAAAATAATGTTAAACTCTTTAATATCGTAAATTGCGTTCTCTGTGCATTATGTACGTCTATTTTACTTCCTGTGCGTTAGTTTCTCTATGCTTAGAGCAGAATTTTCACGCAATCTTCCCTTTTGTTTAATTTATAGCTCTTAAATTCTGTCACTAAGCAAGTACATATTAGCCATATTTACTGCGTAAATGTAGAAAATTATTAAAATTAATACACAAAATATGTAAAATAAATTAATTTATGTATTTAGATCATAACCTTTATAAAGTTATTACTTTAGAACTCATTCTAAATTTATGCAAAATTATAAATTAATAGAAAAAAAGAATAATATCCGAATAGAATAGTTTATAATGAATACATCAATAGAAAATCATTCTCATTTTTTTAGACCTAAAGCCCGTAACAATGCAATAATTGTTATGTAACATGTTCGTTTTTACAAATCATGAGTTTTATTGATTAGATTTTCTAATATTTCCCCCAATAAATATGTAATGTTCTTTCATTGTTGTTTTATTAATTAAAAAGTTCAACTCATTTTTGTTTTAAACATTTGTGACGTCCAGAACATAAAAGATGACGTTAAAATGTTTTTATTTACTTTTCACTAGATGTATAAGCCAGTATGGTATCATGCATATTAAGACAAAAATACATTCTATTATAGCTATCACAATCAATAACAATTAAAGTATTGAAGGATAATGTGTTAAAAAATATAATCCGATTATTTGGATTACGTGTCACAAATTTTTTATTGATAGATGTACAGGGGGCATGTATAAATGTTGTCAATGCACTGTTTTATAAAATTTATTAGTTTTTTTTTATAACAAATTAATCACATACTCGTATATATTTGATTTATGAATATTTATGAGTTATATATGTATGTATATGAGCTATATAATTATTTTCAAAAGAATCGAATTCTAATTTTTAATCGAATTTTTAATATAAAAGAAAAATTTGTGCCTCCCCTCGGACTGGGTGGACGAAAGCTGGCCATGCTCGGTCGTCCAGATTCGAAAAAAGGATAGACAGGGTGGAGGACGAAGTCTGCCGTTTATGCCTGGAAGAGGACGAAACCGTGGAGCATTTATTGTGTGATTGCGAGACCCGGGGAGGGTCTCCCAGCTTGATGTGGTTGCCATAGTGCTGTTTGTCAGGGGCCTAGGTGTAGGGCTAATGTATCATCTTTGAAAGAAATCTTTGCAGTCACGGTGCGAAGATTTCTGTCAAAGATGGATCATGATTGTTTCCCGAATTTTTCGACGAAGCCATTCTTTGCTTAAGATTTATTATTGTTTATTACGGAGCATGTTTACAAAATACATAATTAGTAGTCAGTTGAATTGTGGCTTTTCACAGTATAATTAGTAGTTAGTTATGTTTTTTGTACACAGTATTAATAGAACACTTGGTACGGAAAGGTTTAACATACAGTGAATTAGATTTTGCGTTATTATACTTGGACGGGAGAACAGAAGCGATCAAAGCTCGTCAAAGTGTTGCTTGAATTCGTCTCAATAATAGCAAAAAAATATAGTTTCGTCCAACAAAGCTAAATATAATATGGTGCTATCTCAAATAAATGTGCATATGTGTAAAAATTTTTGAGTATATTGCAATTTTTACTTCAGGGTGGTTAGTTTAAAATTTTAATAAGAGATTTTGATAGTTGTATTATACATTTTTTCATATTATAAAATCTTATTATATAATATTTTATATTTTATATTTTAAAAATAATTTTTTTTTCTTTAAATACCTCAATATACTTTATTAAAATATTGCTTTTACATAGTAGCTGTACAATTTCGTTTTACTCAAATACGGTTTTGTTTATTGATTTTATATCTTGTAAAAGTTAATTAAAAATTAGATTACCGGAAAAAATATTTATCTTTCCGTAATACAGTTGATTGCCTATATTCTATCACATACATTATATATGTATATTTTACGTAATGTTAATTTTATCAACAATATGGGCATATATACGAAATGGGTATGCATAATCCGATTGAACACTCGCTTTAACATATTATATAAAGCCTTAATCAAGAATGTTACTTTATATGTACACTTATCGCTACATGTAGATACTTACATTAATTTAAAATATATGCAATCATCGATTAACTCTTTTAAAATCGATTGTGACCTTACTGAAATCACGTGCTTCGATATACTTTGAATTTCGTTAATAAAATTGCCTTATATTTTTATTTTCATAGATTTACAATTATTTTTAACACTCGAATATTTTAACTTTCACATAATACTATTGTTTAAAGCAGTAAAAATTTATGAAATTATTAAAAATTAGATGTTAAATCTCATCGGCTTTCGCTATATGAGGATTTTGAGAAAAATAGGTAGAGTGACTCCATACTTTTATAATTGAGGCTATAACAGATATGTGCTGTATACAAAGTTGTTTTGAAAGAGCTCGTTAATTATAAATGACAAATAATTTTTTCTCCTCAAATTTTTGAATCGGATAAGTAATATGCTCCTATACATTGTATACATTGTATTTAAAAGCTGCTTTAAAGTACTATATGCAACATAATTTACTCACTCATAATGAATATTAATTTAATGTTATAATCAAAGAAGAAACCATAAAGAAAAAAATGATTTAGATAATTATGATAATTAAGTATGTTGCTTAACATAATAATTTTAAAACATAGTTAGACGTTGCACAGAATATGATTTCTAATTTCGAGCAACAGGAAAAACTTGTTTTGATGATGTGGTATGTTTTATTTAATCAAACAAAATTATAACATAACATTAAAACACGATTACTACATTTATTTTGTGTATTATTATTATGTTTTCTTTTAGTTAAAAAATAAATTTATAAAAACCATTTTATTATTAACATTTCTCAAGCGGCTCAATGGTCTAGGGGTATGATTCTCGCTTTGGGTGCGAGAGGTCCCGGGTTCAAATCCCGGTTGAGCCCGATACTTTTTTTTTAAATAAAATTTTACTTTTATTGTACAAGTATGTTTTGATCGTACGAGTATATTTAATCCATTTTTCATTTTAAATATTTAATATTGGTTGATTGTTATTGAAATTGCCAAAATTTGTGAACACATTTTATCTTTTCATTTTTTGCTTTATTTTTATTAATTTTTTAAATATGATTATCATTTTTTTCTAATTTTTACTTACATTAGGGATAAATAAAAAATAAATTTTTAAATAGCAGCAACTAAATGTATGTTGAAGCTCCATTTTTAGTAGTCTAACTAAAAGCAAAAGTCTAATGTAAACTTTGAATTACCTCTGTAAATCGAATGGGAAACCATAGAAGAGCATGCTAGTATTTTATTAAAATGCTTAAATTTTACAATATAAAAGTTAAAAAGGAATAGCGAATATAATTTGACGCGACCTCATTCAATTGGTGATATGTTTAGAATAAAAAAAATTTAAATTATAACATAACTTGAAATATAGCGCAATTTAAGTTTGATCGCAGTTTGAATAAAATGTTAGAATTGTGTTAGAATCTACTTTAGAAATTTGACAAGCCTTATTTAGAAAAAATATCTTACGTTCATCAAAATTTTAAACTGAATCTTGTTTTCGCTTTTCCACGACGCGATTTATGATTAAATTAAGAATTTTCTATAATAAGCTATAAAACGGCAATTTTATAACTGATATAAATGTTACTTTAAAAAGCACTGTTACGTTACATCTCGGAGTTTTTTAAGATAAGTTGAAACGTATATTGATAACAATTTTTAAAATTGCATAAAAACAGGCTATAATATAATAGTAACGGATTCGACATAAACTAAAAGAGAGATCATTGAAAACCATAACTTGTCTTTCAATGATCTCTCTGTAAGAAAATTAATTCCAGTAAATCATAGTCATTAAGTAAATTATTTACCTTCTGTATTCTGATAAAATAAAGAACTTTAATTAATTAACATTTTGCATACTTTTATACCTTCTTATGTATTTTCTATCTTTTACTTTTTTTGTATGTATTCGAAATTCATGTTGTTCCAAACGTATTGCTTCTTTTCATTGTTCAAGCAGAACTGGCATCTCCTATTATTCAATAAATACTTGTAATTTATCAATTCATCTCATAAGTTACAAGAACAACTATTATAGAAAATAAATAATTTGTATATTATACACTTTTAAGCAATATTATTGTATTTAATTTAATTGAATTATCATAAATTCGATTCAAATAAAATTTGTTAATCTAAAACTAAATAAGCTTTTCATATGAAGAGTGTAAACAATACTATGCATTTAATATTGTAAATTTGATTTTTCATTAGAACTATAAGAAACATCATTGATTACAGCCATATTTTGTTAAAAAATACTCACTAACCGTTATTTGTACGAAAATATTGCATATATTCAGGCGAGGCTAGAAATTTAAATTTTTGTGTAAACATTGTTATTATTTTTTGTATTTATTAATTATTAATTTTTAGGACTTAAAATTATAATATTTGTTTTATAACTTGTTCAAAACTGACTATGTACAAAAATAACCTACCTGAGTTTCAGATTTTTTTTTTTAACAAATTTATGGCAAAATAAAAGAGGGAACCTTTACAATTATCGTAAAAATTTGAAACCTTCAATTTCAACTACTTAAGGTTTTTAAAAATAATTTCGTTTTTTTTAGCTAGCAACAAATTACAAATAAGCGCTTGTTCTTTTTGATT